TAAAATTACATGATATAATTATAAATTATAAATAACGCAAAAAATAGTGATGTGATTTTTCATAAAAACATTGTCATTGTTTATATGAATAATAAAAATTGCAGAAGATTAAATTAGACTTAAGAGTGACTTGAATTTAATGTACTCCTTGTAATAAAAGTCGACAGATGCTAACTTGATTATTCATGATGATAATACTTGTTAGTGCAGTAGTAAAAATTTTAAAGAAAGTCAGAAGACTTATTGTTTAATATGTTCTCGTAAAAATAATTGAGCAGAAGAAAACAAGTGTGGAATGAAAATTGAGACTGAAATTAATTTTCTTTTAATTAAGAAAAATTAAGATTTCACATAATTGATAAAAATACTTATATTTGTTTTAATAATTCGAGACTTAATTTAGTAATTAGTAAATTTTTTTATTTATCTAATAAATTATTTTTAGTAAAAAATAAAATTTATTTAAAAAAAAATGCAATTATTCTGTCAAATATAAAATGTATATAATTTATTTAATAGAAAAATTTTATTTAGATTGAATTAAAAATTAAAAATAGCTTTAATTTTTATTTTATCGCGGTCTTACAAGCCAATAGTTGAAAATAATGATAAAATGTAAATTTCTAGAGTATCAGTTAAAAATTTTAGACGAAAAATATTATTTTTATCAAAAAACCAGTTATGATAATAATTTTGCTTGGGACAACTTTGTAAACACGACAACTTTAGAAGTTATTTTTATTTTTTTATCACCTTTGTATTTTTAAGATAAAACTCTGTTGAAAATCAGAATCAATATCTGAATAATTTATTAATGAAAACTTTAACTTAAACTGACAAGTTTTAATATTTAACAAACTAGTATTTGCACGTTCAGTTATTTTTTCCCCGCGATTTACTTTCTCTATTATACGGAGATAGTAACGCGCGAGAAAATGAACTCGACGAAATATGAATGTAATTCTCAGAAGTGGATTTTTTTTTTCAATCAACTGAATAAATGAAAGATATTTCGAGGATAGATTGATACCGAGAACATACAATTAATTTTATCGAAATTGTATTTGTAAATTACGCCAGTGATTGTTAAATATTAATGTGCGAAATAATATTTTTTATTGTCATTCGAGGCGTGCACTTTTCGGTTTCTTAACCTTTTAAAAAGCTATTATCGCTTGTGAAAGAGCCGATTAATAAGATCAAATTTTATTTAAAATTGCCGTTTAATTAAGCTTACCTAAAAGTAAATTATTTTTTTTTTAAATAATAGCTCATTATGTATGATTAAATTTCGCGTGTGTATTATTTGAATATATATTGTATATTTCACAACTTAGTCCTTGAGAATAAAAAATAATTAAAGAAATAGTTTAAAGGAGTGGCTAATTATAAATTTTTATATTTCCGTTTAATTGTAAATAAAAATATTTATTTTAATATTCACATACATATTTTAATTCCACAATTTATAATAGCAAGTATCTAGACAGTGTTTGTTAAAAGTCAGTCATAAATAATTTATTCAGCAACATTTTGGTTAATTACCATCTAAATATATAATGAAAGAAAAATTATTTTTATTTTTGCAAGAAATGGGCATTTTTTTAACAAGAAATAAATTTATTTAAAATTTTAAACAATTTTTTTTTAGCTAAAAAAATGAAAATTTTTCTTTTAATAATTTTCTTGTCAAAAAAAAGTTTTCTAAATTTGAAAAAAAAAAAAAAACAATTTTAATGGAAACCTTGCGAATTTTTATTCAAAATTTTGTTTTTTTTCCCCAAGTCTAGAAAACTTTAAAAACAAATTATTGTGAAAAAAAATTTTATTTTTTCATTTAAAATTTTAAATGAATTAATTTCTTTTTAATTTTTTTAAAAATAAATTTTTATCTTTCAGTGTATGAAAAGTACACTGATAAAAGGATTTATTAACTATTAATAAGTTAATTTATTTGAAGACAATTATTGAATTTATTAAATTTTAATTAATATTTTTTAACATTCAATAAATATTTGTTTGAGAGGAAAGTACATTTATTAATAGTTGATAAGTATTTATTAATAATTAATAAATTGTATTTAATAAATAATTTATTAACTGTTAATAAATATTTATTAAATCCTATGATGTTAAAAAATCATTTGTTAATAAACCTTATTAAATATATAAACAAATCCTTCTATCAGTGTGCGTTACAAAAAAAAATTATGAAATAAAATCATAATCAATACAATTATTTATTAAAATAAAATTAATAAATTTTTTTCAAAGTTTTCTTTTTTGATATAAGAAAGTTTTATTAAAAAATCCTCGATTTGTACACAGTAAAAAATTTTAATGTTAAATATTTAACACTTTTTCGTATTAATTAAACAAAATCAATATTAAATTTTCACATAAAAGTGTTAAATATTTAACCCAAAGTTTTTTGACGCAGATGTAAAATTTTTTACCGTATAAAAAATTTCTCTAAAAAATAAAATTATTATTTCCAAAATTCATATTCTTAATTTTCTAGTTCTCTGATGTGTAACACAAACTTTTACCAGTGGATAATTGAAACAAAAAACCTCAGTAATCATGACTGGCAATGCAAGTGTTTAGCCAGCCCTTAAAAAATAAAATGTGTGTCATTACTCATTATCATTAATAAATATTTATTAACAGTTAATAAATTGTATTTAATAAATTACATATTAACTATTAATAAATATTTGTTAACAAATATTTATTAATATTTAATAAATTGTATTTAATAAACAATTTATCAACTGTTAATAAATATTTATTAAATCCTAATGTTAAAAAATCATTTATTAACAGTTAATCAAGCTTATTAAATATAAACAAATCCTTCTATCAGTCCCATGCAAACAAAATTCCCGTTCAAAAGGAATTTAAGATTGAAATTCATATTTTGACCCAAATAAGAATTAGTTTTGAGATCTATCCAAATTTGAAATTGATTTGTAGATAAAAATTAGCATGTCTGTAGAACTGTCAATAAAGATTTAAAAATATTTAGTATTAATCCCGTGTAAAAAAAAATCGTCTTAAAATTGTCTTAAAATTGTCGTTCGTTTAAGATATTAAACGTGACACAAACTAAGACTATTTTAAGACTCTTTTAAGACGCCAAAAGAAAAATTCCGAGAGCAGATTTTTGAAAATTTTGTTCTCGAATTTGTTGTGAAAATTAATTTTTAGATGATTTTACGACTTTCTAACCGCAATATTTTTGAGTAAGATGTTTTTAAATTGAATTTAAAATTGTTAAAAAAATTATTATCTGACAATTTTAAGACTTTTTGAGGACGTTCCGTTTTAATGTTCCGGGACTCTGTCGCTGTTAACCCATCTTAAAATAGTCTAAATTTTTTATTAAGATTTTTTTAAGACTAATTTAAGACAATTTAAAGACGCTCCATAATAATTGTCCGGAGCTGCCACTGTGATGTTATCTGAAAATAGCCTAAAAATTTTTTAACATTTTTTTTTCAGATTTCTTTAAGACTATTTTAAGATTGTTCAAGACTATATAAAAATTATTTTAAAACTTAAATCTTAAAATAGTCTTAAAAAAATCAAAATAATTATTAAAAAATCTCGGAATTTTTTTTTTTGGCATCTTAAAAGAATCTTAAAATAGTCTTAATTTGTGTCACATTTAAGATCTTAAACGAACGACAATTTTAAAACGATTTTTTTTTTCACGGGAGATATGCAAATTCAAAATTTCGCGATTTTTCTAGTTTTTCAATTTTGTTTTTGCAATAATTCGAATGCTATTATAGATACAGGAATGGTCTTTTGTTTGTTTGAAAGGGGACACTTAGGGCTAATGAAAAAAA